CGCTACAAGCTGTTGTACTGCAGATGTAATTAACTCCCATACTTATTATAATGCTTATAACTCCGCCTATGTCTTCTAGGCATAGCCGGTCCCAAGCCCGGGTAAAGGAGGAGGGTTGTGATAGGCTTGGCGAGCCAACGTAAAAACTAGCCAGTCCCATAGGTATGAAACCCATTTGAGCGAGAATAGTACTAGGATGGGTGACCTCCTAGGAAGTCCTCGTGAAAGGGTTTCATATCTAAGGGTTGTGATAGGCTTGACGAGCCAACGTAAAAACTAGCCAGTCTTTTGGGTATGAAACCCATTTGGGCAAGAGTAGTACTAGGATGGGTGACCTCCTGGGAAGTCCTCGTGAAAGGGTTTCATATCTAGCCTACCCCAACTTGTTTGGGATAAAAGGCTTCGTAAGTAAGTAAGTAAGTAACTTATTATAATGCTTATCACAAAAATCATGCTTCGTTTGCCTTTAACGCTCCTAAGTTTTGTAAATGTTCTACTGCAGAATGACGGAACAGATCCCTTCCAACCTAACAGCGAGTATTTACAGATAATAGCTGAGGTATATACTACAATCAGTTATTAGTTTGCATATTGGTTATTCAAGTTGATTGAATTATGGAAATACTAATACACTGCATGCACAATAGGCCACAGAGCGTCTAAAAGAGGCTGTCAGAGAGATCAAAGGTGCCAGTGTGGAAAACAACAAGTTCTGCGTTTCTGTGCACTACCGGGAAGTTCGCAGGGAAAAGGTAAAACTGAACTCAAGTTTTAACATTGTTGCCTCGCTATATTGAGAAAATCCATCTCACGTTTGGCCTCCCTTTTTGGCAGGATAAGGACTTACTTAAGAACATCGTGATGAGAATTGTGACAGAAGAATTTCCCAATCTCAAGGTGACCAACGGTAAAAAGGTAAGTAGAGTTAGAGGAAATCGCACAAATACACAATATTTGGGGCTGATCTAACACAAAACCACAACTCTAGGGAATTTTAACTGATACCCACAAGTCTTCTTTTTTCAAGAAAAAGATACCCACAATTTCTCTCACCAGCCACTTAAAAAGTACAACAACAAAGCCGTTTAGTCCCAAACAAGTTGGAGTGGTTCTGCACATGGATAGCTAACTTTCACGCACCCCTGTCCATGGCTAGTTCTTTGGTGATATTCCAGTCCTTCATATCTCTCTTTACGGACTCCTATGCCAAGTTTGGTCTAACCCGACCTCTCTTGACATTATCAACACGCTTTAACCATCCGATATGCATTGGCACTTCTAGAGACCTGCGTTGTATATGCCCAAACCATCTCATATGATGTTGGACAAGCTTCTCTTCAATCGGTGTCACCCCAACTCCGTAAATCATCATTCCGTACCGGACCCTTTCTTGTGTTGCCACATCCATCCCAACATGTGCATCCTGCAATACCTAACTGTTGGACATGTCGCATTTTAGTTAGCCAACATTCAACGCCATACAATATCGCATGACGAATTGTTGTCCTATAGAACCTGCCTTTTAGCTTTTGTGGCACTCTCTTATCACAGAGGACGCCAGAAGCTTGGCACCACTTCATCCATCCAACTTTGATTCGATCGCGTACATCTTCATCGATATCACCATCCTTCTGCAGTATTGACCCGAAACATCGAAAGGTATCCTTTTGAGATACCATATGCCCATCAAGGTTAACCTCCTCCCCATGCCTAACAGCACGAAAACCGCACCTCATGTACTTAGTTTTAGTTGTACTAAGCCTAAAACCTTCGATTCCAAAGTCTGTCTTCACAGCTCTGACTTCCTATTAGCCCCCATCTGACTATCGTCGACTAGTACCACATCATCCGCAAAGAGCATACACCATGGAATATCTCCTTGTAATCCGTTGTGGCCTCATCCATCACCAAAGCAAAAAAGGCAAGGGCTCAAAGCTGACCCTTGGTGCAGTCCTATTTTATTGGAAAGTCATTAATTTCTCCATAACTTGTTCGTACACTTATCACAACATTATTGTACATGTCCTTGATGAGGGCAATGTACTTTATTGGGAATTCGTGTTTCTCCAAGCCCTACCACATGACATTTTGAGGTATCTTATCATAGACCTTCTTCAGGTCAATGAACACCATATGCAAATCCTCCTTTTGCTCCATGTATAGCTCAATAAGTTGTTGTACTAAGAAAATGGCTGCCATGGCCGACTTTGGAGGCATGAAACCAAACTGATTTTTGGTCATGCTTATCATTCTTCTTAAGCGGTGCTCAATGACTCTCTCCCATAGCTTCATTGTATGGCTCATCAGCTTAATTCCATGGTAATTAGTACACCTCTGAACACCCCCATTGTTCATGAACATTGGTACTAATATACCCCGCATACTTATTTCGGGCATCTTGTTTGACCAAAAAATGAGGTTGAAAAGCTTAGTTAGTCATACTATCACTATGTCTCCAAGGCCCCTCCACACCTCAATGGGGATATAATTAGACCCCTGACCTCAAACTCCTAGATTCATCACACAAAACGCCCGTTGGTCCTAACAAAGGAATTATCCAGCTCAATGGTAGAGCTCTCATTCTCCCCATTGAACATCTTGTCGAAGTACTCTCGCCATCTATGCTTGATCTCCTCGTCCTGCACTAGAAGCCGATCTGCACCCATCTTGATGCATTTGACTTGGTTGACATTCCTCGTCTTCTTCTCCCGGATCTTCGCCAACTTATAGGTGTCCCTTTCGCCTTCCTTCGTGTTTAAACGGTAGTAGAGGTCCTCATACGTCCAACCCCCTACTTCACTCATAGCTCGCTTTGCAGACCTATTTGTTACCTTGTACTTCTATATATTGTCTACCTCCTATCCAGGTGTAGGTGTATGAAATAGTCTTTCTTCTCCTTAATAGCCTTTTGGACATCATCCTTCCACTACTAGGTATCTTTAGCTTCAGTTCTACTTCCGTTGGTAACCCAAACTGCTCGAAAGCCACCTCCCCAACACAAGTCGTCATCTTCATCCACATATTGTTTGCATCATCTCCTTCCTCCCAAGGGCCCTCCTTAGTAACCTCTTCTTGAAAGCCTGAGCTGCCTCCTCCTTGAGCTTCACCACTTCATTCTAGCGACTTTGGCACGCTTCTCGCTGGACATGAATACGAAAGTGGAAGTCAGCCACCACAAGCTTATGTTGAGAGACAACACTCTCCAGGCATCACTTTACAATCTGGGCAAGCACGACTGTCTTCTCTTCTTGAGAGGACGAAATCAATCTAGCTAACCACTACTAAAAAGCACTGGCTAGGATTCCCTCTTTCTAAAGAGGGTGTTAGCAACGATCATGTCATAGGCTAAAGCGAAGCTTAAGACATCCTCTCCTTCATTCCTGTTATCATAACCAAAGCCCTCATGCACCCCTTCAAAACCTGTGTTAGATGTACCGACATGGCCATTGAGGTCTCCTCCTATGAAGAGCTTCTCGCCAATAGGTACATTCCTAACCATGTTCTCCAGGCCTTCCCAGAGCTCCTTCTTGGTGTTCTATTGTGGCCTACTTGCGGGGCATACTCGCTGATAACATTGAGAACCAAGTCCATAATGACCAGCTTGACCAGGATACCTCGGCCAGTTGCCTCTTGACGTCTACCACTCCATACTTGAGGCTCTTGTTGATCAAGATGCCTAGTCCTTTCATTCATAGTTGTCCCCGTGTACAACAACTTGAAGTCGGTACCCTCCGCCTCCTTCGCCTTTTGTCCATTCCATTTAGTATCTTGGACGCATAGGATATCAACACCTCTCCTCACCGTTGTATCAACCAACTCCCGTAGCTTACCCGTCAGCGACCCAACGTTCCAGCTACCTATGTGAATCCTACTAGGCTCGGCTAGCTTCCTTACCGTTCACACTCGTCGAGACAAATGCGAAGACCCTTGCTCATTTCTCAGTACATCCGGACGTTGATGTAGCGCGCCACTAAGGACGTGACGACCCGATCCTCACTCTCATCGTATCCACATCAAGATTCAGCGGGCGACCAAGGGGGTGACAACCTGATCCTTGTCCATTTAACACCACACCCGAGTTACAATACGTCATGTTGCTAAGAGGGTTACACCCCAACGGTGTTCTTCTGGGTTTCATCTCCATAAGAGTGGTTGAGTTTTGACGTTAGCTCACCAACTCTATTACAACCCTCCTCCTTTACCCGGGCTTGGGACCAACTATGTTGAGACCAGATAAGCAGAGTTGGCCGGGTCCCAATCATTCATATATTCAAATTTGGCTTGGCTAGTTTTTTTGGCCTCGACCTCCAAACCTCAGCTTGAGCCGACACGATATGAGTCGAACCTGGTCTCCAACTCAAACAAAGCACATATTAGAGCTCCTTGATACCAACATTCTCCCCGACCTCCTAACCGGCCCAACCCTGATGTCTGTCCCCTCTCGATCCCTCCACCACTCAGGCATAGGCACGTTCCCGTGCACTAGAGACCGTAGGGGCTACCGCACCGGCGTCAGAGAAGACGACATGTACCGACTACTGCCCCCACTTCTCTCCCCTGAGGAGCTTGTCCCGGATTATGCTGAACTATTGGGTGTATTTTGGCTACAAACTTGTCCTAGGTTATGTTGAATTATTTGGTGTATTCAACTAGAAAAACTTGTCCTAGGTTATGTTGACTATTTGTAATCTCGCTCTATGCATGTGTGTTCTACATGAATATAGTGCAACACTTGACCAAACTAGTTGATTAAGATGGACTTGCATATACACAATATTCAAACTTGGATTTTTATTCTGCCACAAATGGCTTTTGTAGATGTGCTGAAGATTTCCCAGAATGATGAGAGAAATAACTCCAACTGGTTGAATGTTTTCCAGATTTCTTTGCAAACTTGAATTTTTAAACAAACTTGGCCGGATCTTACAAAACCGCCTAAACTTTAAAACAGATGGGGAAAATGGGCTCTAAATTTCCCAAAATTATGAGAGAAAATAACTCCAACCACTGGAATTTTTCCGGACTTTTTAGGACTTCAAAATTTTGAACCAAATTGGGTGAATCTTACAAAAAATTGTCCAACAATTAGAACAGCTAGGAAACATGGGTGAAACTTACGGATTTTTTCCTGATTTATTTGAAAACTTTGACATTTTGAAACAAATTTGGTTGAATCTTGCAACTATTTTCCAAACTCTAAAACAGCTTGCCAAAGGGCTAAAATGTTTCCAGATTCATTATTGAATATGTATTGAATTAAATGAAATTTTCCAGACCATTTTGAATAATTATTTTTTGAATGAAATTTGGTTGAATCTCAAACTGTCCCAGCCTTTAAAACGGCTAAGCAAAACGGGCTGCAAATTTGCCACATTTATCATTGGAGATGCATAGAATTACTGGATTTTTTTAAGGATTTTGCATAACCAAAATTGGCCAATCTTATGAAAATTTTACAGATTTAAAAACGACTAGGCAAAATAGGCCGAAACATTCCCGAATTTATCACTAAAGATGTATTGGGTTACTGGAATTTTTTCCGATTATTTTGAAAACTTTGAATGTTTGAAACAAGTTTGGCCGAGTCTTACCAAAAACTGTATAAACTTTAACCAGTTGGGCAAAATGGGCGAAAATTTTCCCAGGTTGATTATACAAGATGGACTGAATTACTGGCTTTTAAAGGTATTTTTTATTTTTTTAAAAAAAATCAGTCAAATTGGCTTAATCTTAGAAGTACTATACAGATTTTTTTATAAAATATTTCATTTTTTTGTGACCCCCGGGACCCACTCGTCATGTTTATCATTAAGTGGCCAATTAGAGCAGTTGTGTGCTTTTCTGTTACTATACTTAGTCGTAGACTGGTGGGTATTAGTTAAAATCCCCTATACTTGTAGTTTTGTATTACCTTAGCCCTAAATGTTGTGTATTTATTCAGTTTCTTTGAATATTTAATCGGGTTTGAATGTTATAACATTTTCTATAGGTTCGAGAGGTTCGTCCAGGGCCGAAATTCGACAAGGGAGACGCCGTCAAGTACCTCCTCCAGCAGCTCACCAACAAACATAGCTGGGACAGCTCTCGGATCTTACCAATCTATATTGGTGATGATAAGACTGATGAAGACGCTTTTAAGGTAAAAAACTTCAGAACATCATCTGAACAGTGAAACCTAATGGATTTAAAGCTTCATTTAGATGGGGAAAAAAATCTACTTTGTTGCATTCAGGTGCTTTCTGAGGAAGGTGGATTTGGAATCCGCGTCTGCAAGTGGCGCAAGAGGACTGCAGCTGAGTACTCTCTAAAGAACCCCAGTGAGGTAATGAATCTAGGCTCACGAGTATGCATGTAGGAGTAATCTTTTTGGCTGTATCCAACAAATTGAATGCTAAATAATTTTAATTGTTCTCAGGTGAAAGAGTTCCTGGAGAAGCTGGTGCGCTGGAGGAGAGAACAGGACCAAGTTTGAATTCCTTGGAAGTTGCAACAGCCCATTTGGAGCGGTGAACGCCCAATTTTAGCGAAAGCGAACATAGGATGAAAGAAATAAAACCAAAACATTGCTGAAGCTGGTGATGGAGAAGTTGACTATATATTTTTTCTGTAGTAAGTACACATACCTGGTGATGGAGTGACTATTTTTTCAAATCCTGCAACCAAATTGGAATGGGGCGTTACAAAGCGCCGTGGCCAGCAGCACCGTTGGCAGGGGGGCATTCGGAGTACTGGATTGCTTCATGCGAAGAGAGCAGGGGCGCACCTGACCGCCTTTTTTTTGGAGTAGGATGTCGCACAAGGGTGGTCAGAGGAGACCCGATGTAGGAAAGCGGGAGAGGACTTCGCCGGAGGGATCGACGGAGTTTTTAGGGGAAGGTAGAGAAACGCCGGATGGGGAGGGGGCGCCGCCGCTGCTCTCTTTGTTCAGTGCTCGAGTACGAGTCAACGAGGCGAACCGGTGAAAAAAACGTAGGAATGGCCGAGAGCTAATGGGCCGTCCAGAGGAAACGATCAGCGTTGCGGGCCGATTTCCAACCTAGGGGCTGTTGGGTTCGATCCGTTTGGAAGTAATTTTCCTAGAGTATCTTCTATTATTTTCCTCTCCTCCCTCTCTCTCCGTGCCAAGCGGTCAGCGGCGTCCCTCTTCCTCCCGAGCGACACGGCGACACGCTCTGCCCGGTCCGCCGCAAGTTGGACTCCTCCGCCGCCGCAACGCCCACCTCTCTCCGACGCACCGCATCAGATTGAGGTAGGCCTCGCCTTCCTCGGTTTCTCCGTCGGCCGTCGCCCTCCCTTCGCGGGTGGATGCGCGCGCCTCCACTGCCCCTGCCCAACCTAGGGTTAAGACTTAAGAGTAGCCTGTTATTGCGTATTGACTCTGTTATTTCGTCCCCTCATTATCTCATGTATTATCTACCGACCCAGTTTGCCTGAGCAGCTAGGGTTGAGTATCCATTGGCTCCTCCAGCTCTCGCATTACAATTGGTTATTAAATTGGAGTGCCCTGCTTGGCATCATTGGGAGTTGGCAGGGTGGCACCCAGCAAGTAGAAGCAAGTTATTTGAAACAAAAAAGGTCTGAAGAAAATGATTGTGCTACATTGGTGGCAGTAGTATCACATGCTTAGTTAACAGATTGACGACCTAGAGCTAGGGAAGAGCAAGCCTCAGATCTGATTGAGCTGCTAGTTATTTCTCCTTTTTTGTCTCTGATTGATGGCCGAGAGGGCAGAGCATCGTATTTCTTTAGGATAGGGGACTACTCAAATTGTTGGCCCATTTACTTACTTATCGGATGAATTTTGACTTCGGCGTAGCCCCCAAACCCCAAGCCTCACATCAAGTCTGCCTCTGGGTGACTGCTTCAAATTTGGGGATTCCTTCACCAACCTTGATGCTGATTTTGCTGCATCACTAATTATGTCCTGTTTGCACCTTGCATTGCATCTGTCTTATCAGCCACACCTGAAACTGCATCTTGATCACATGCCCCAGGCTCGCCCACAGCTGCAACAAACATCCTCAAACACTTGCATACATCATCTCCTGCCAAATTATTCTGCTTTTTATGAGCTAAAATCACTGTACCAGGAGTGTATTGGATCCATCTCCTATGCTCATTTGAATGTCCTTTACTGTAAGAGCTCAGAGAATGAGCATAGGAGATGGATCCAATACTGGATACTGGGTCCATCATAAATAGTTGTTAGAATTATCTGTCACATGTCCAGATTGCAAATGTTGTACAGTATAGCACATTCAGTTGCCATGTATTGAGATGTCAAGTTGTCTTATAGAAAAAGTACTTTCTGACAACAAAGTCACAGGATTGCTAAAGTTAGAAACTGCCAGCCATGACAAGTTAACACCATTTGTGTTTGGACGGTAGTTTGAGACAGTAAGAGCTCAACTACCAATTCATTGCTTGAGTGAAATTGCCAATTGGTTGACTCAGTTGAGTCATACCATTTCTCTTTGAAAGGTTCTTTATTGTTTTTCCTATACCAATTATTGTTTTTTCAAAAAACTCTGTTCAAACTTTTACCCTTCTCGGTTCGAAAAATTGTACCTAATGTTGGATCTGAATATAAATAGGGCTACCTGAGCTCTCAGACATGTCTGGACGTGAGGTTCGTGAGTACACTAACCTCAGCGACCCTAAAGGTTAGTGATTTCATCATTCTCCAGTCCCAGTGTGGACAAGTGGTTCTTCTCCTTTTTGGTTTATTGGACATTTTCCTAAATCAAATCATCACCTTTGTGCTTATGCATATGCAGATAGAAAGTATGGGAAGGGAAAGGACAAGATCGACGATGAGGATGTCACCTTCCAGCGCATGGTAGCAAAGGTTAACCGGAATGCTCTTGCAAAAATAATTCTGATTAAATTCTGAATAAATTGAGTTATAATTACTTAGTAGCACTGTCCTGGTAGGTATCTTATTTTTTGGGAAATTAGTTTAGCTGCCAAAATCTAAGTTACATTATCGATTCTCACATCGAATATTGGATAGTTTTGATATTTGAAATGAGGGTCATGGAAAGAAAGTGGTCTGTTTTTGAGTTTTGACACGGTATTGTGCTGGGTACAGATATAGATAAGTGCAGAAGGCCTTTGATATGTTTGTACCAATGAGCTTAAATTCAGGGAGTTTACTTTAGATTGTGAGAAATCATTCGATGTGATCAGGAAAAAGATCAAGGCTGTGTTAGGTTTAGGTAGCATACATTATCTGCTCTGATCAGTGTTGTGTTCGGAACAGTATCTAACTTGCTGTCAGTTGTGGGCTTGTGGCCATGAGATTACTCGCTCTTCTTGAAAAATTGATCCCATTACTCAGTGTGTCTGCAATAGGCATTGATTTACGATGTTCTGATAACATGCCCTGACAGGGATTTTGGCTTTCTACTGGGCGGTTGATGCCAACAGATGCAGGATGTTGCTGGTGAGCGGGGAGGCTACCTTCATGGGCGAGGAGGTATTTCATGCGTCTTTAATGAAGAATTCGTGCTGGCTCCTTGTTAACCTTGTTTACTTTGATGTTGTTCAGCATTGGACAGTGATGATTTGCTTTACCTTAAAGAGCAAATGGAGGCTGAGGAAGATGCAGAGCGTCTCCTCCGTCGTACAGAGAAGCGGGCATTTGCTGCCTTTAAGATATCCTCTCTTGCATGATAGTACATTATAGCATCTCCCACACGTTTTACAAGACAATCTTTAGTATAATCCAAGCGTTCTCGCTATGCATGCATGCTATTTTCCACATCTATTATTTGATTTCTTGTCATTGGCCATGCAGTTGCAGCACAATATTCACATGCCTAGGGGTAGTTTTGCATCTTATCGCAGCTTGCAGCATTCCACATTTCGATAACTCTGTCAGTTTGTTTGTTTGATTTCTTTAACTCTGGCATTACCAAGCAGCAGTTCTAGCTGATTCTGCACCTCCTATTCCTGCGGCTCTTCGCGTCGAGCCTAGACCCAAAAGTGATATAAGGTAAGCCGTGTGCGAGAAAAGACTCTGTTTCCATCAATGATACTTTTGCCTTCTGATTTGGCACATACCTTGTTATGGGCAGGCAACGTGATCTCTTGAAGAAGATTGTTGAGATCAAACCAAAGCGAGCAAAAGTCAGCAGCCCTCGACAAACAGCAGAGGGCGATAGACCTAAGCAGGAACAAGAAGATTCTGTGAGGAAAATGTCTACGCCTGAAGGTGAAAATGAACCGTCTCAAGGGCCAGTCAGCTTTGTGCAACCTCTGTCAAAACCAGGTGATCCAGCGGAGGCCAAGTCGCAGCATGCAGCTGTAAGCTTACTTGGTTTAGCGTATGAGAGTTCGGACGAGGAATAGTCGGTGGCGTGGAGAAATTGGTGTAGACTCCGTGTTGAAGTTTTTTAAGTTCTCTTGCTAGACTCTGTTGTATCATCAGAAGGATAAAGAACTTATGCCGGCATTGATTAGGTGTCGCTGCTGGAAATCAAGCCTGAGTTACTGATTGGGTAGACTATAATCTTGCAGAACTATATATGTGATTGCTAATGGTATACAAGTAAATGAAATTGAAAATAATAGAAAAACTAAATTTACTAGCTCCTTTATTTAAGAAAAATATATTCACCATAGCAAATGTATCAGGTTGAAGAGGCTTTATAAATTCGTTATCTACTTGAATGGTCAGCAACATTTGGATTCACTAAACTCACTGCTTTTATCTCGAAAATGGCCTTTGGTGGCCGGGCTAGCTGGAGGCCGTAATCAGCTCCGTCAGTACCCGTCGCGATCGGTGCCAAGGGGTATGACGCTACTGTATTCTGCATGTATTTGTAGAAGAGGGCGATGCACAACGCTCGTATTGGCACATAAATATGAGACAACATTTTGAGCTATCACAAACAGTTTCAATTTATCTTGAAATGTTTAACTATTTGTTTAAATCAAAAAAGCTCAATTTAACGGTGTTGGTTCTGTTTTAAATGAAGATAAGGGAGTTTTAATAATAAGAAGAAATATTGGTTTCTTCATGAAAATTAGTTAGTGAATATTTACAACCCAACGAACATTTTAAATTTACCTTTTGAAGAATTACAAATTTGACTTGTATTTAAGTTTAAATTTGACTTAGGTTTTAACCAGGAGAGATTAAGCTTAGCAAAATGGGATGGCGTGGCATTAGTAAGGGATTCATTGTAGCATAATTATCGGGGTGTTACACCTGCATTCAGCGGGCCATAATTGGGTCGGCTCGCAACAAGTTGTATTGGGGCCTGCGGCAGACCTGCCGTATGGGCCCTTCATGGACACTGTATGCCGCCCATAACTCTAATGGGCCTTTAGCGTGCCCAACTTTAGTTCGGCCCATGTAGCTTCGGGCCATTAACATGCTGAATATTCTGCTGGCATGTGTTGGCCCAGAAGACACCATGGGCCTTTAGCAGGCCGAGAAGCATGTTGGGCCTCAATTTTTAAGAG